GTTGATGACATGGCTAATGACATGGAAAATAATATGGACAATGGCGTGGACTAGATAGATGATGTGTTAAGTTACATGACATGTCCCTGGAGGCACGTGTCATAATACAATGTGTGGATAAAAATATTGTATGTGTAGGTAAAAGCGATAACTATATTCATATTGATTTTGATGTGTAGGAAAATTATTGAACTATTGATATGAATAAACTTAGGTCATGGGTCACATTGTTTGGTACATTGTTTATTTGTTTTATTTAACCCATAATTTATCAACATATACATGAAATCAAACGTGCATAAAATTTATATAAAATATGTAGCTTAAAAAGAGAATGATTTGAATCTATTAAAGAAGAGAGAAATCCCATAAATCCTAAACATTACAACGATGAACCAAAAGACAAAATAAACTTCATTTAAAAGTACAAAGTTGAGGTCATACTACTTTAAAAATAATACAAAACTATGTATGTTCAAACTTAAATGATCTATGCTTATGCTTGGTAGCCTTCTTCAATGATCTTTGAACGGAGGAGCACTTCAAAAAAAAAAGATAAGAGTCACGCTCAAACCCTACCATCTGTGAAATTAGTTAAATACACATTGATAATCCTGTAAAAGATAACTAAAAGTCGTGACTACCAGCTCCTTATAAAAAAAATAAAAACTAATGAAATAAATAATAAATGCTAACCTTAAATCTTGTTTGATATCTCTTTGACTCTTCGTTCATCTTCCACCAAATCACAAAGTAACTCGTGCAAAAACATTATAAATAATTTTCATTGCTTCCTCCTTGCTGTCACAATTTAAAAAAACTGCATAAACAAAATTATACCTTCGGGGAGGTCCTGATATCTAATATGACCAAAGCAAAAGAAATCTTGAAAATTCAACGAGAATGGCCAATAAAAACTTACTAGAACACAAGTTGATTAACACATATTTTATACAATCCTACAACAGTGAAGCAAGAAGAAAATAGTCTTTGGCTTCTTTGGTTGCAATATACCGAACAAGACTTTACTGCAATTAAACAAATGGGTTATTTAAATAGCCATAAAAGGAGATGTGGGCAGCGAATTAAGGGTAGACGTGGGTAGAGGAAGCAAAGCCTAGTCGTTTGTGTTTGTGACTTTATGTATATCTATAGGGGAGGGGGGAATTAAAATGAGGAGGGAATTAAAAAAAAAATATTAGAGGGAAAAGAATATGACAGGAGGGAAATGAAAATTTAGAATTTCATTCTCGTGCAGCCTAGTATTGTTTGAATTTGATAGGATTTTGACGTTTTGTGGGGGCGATTTTGTTGGAACAACCGTCTCCATGTATAGCCATAATCTCACCAATTTCGGAAGATATTATCTAGATCTCAAAACCTCATCCTAATTTACATTCTGTTATTGAATTTATACTTTAGTTTTAATTTGTTCTGAATTTTTGTTATAAGTGCCGATTTACATATATTTTTTATTTAAATGTCATTCCATATTTATCTATACATTTTATATAATAGTATTATGGGTAAGAATATGCACACATTAACCACAATTTTTTAGAGTCATAAATATGTGTAGGTATTAATTTGCTACGTCATTAACAAAAATATAAAACAAAACATATAATACTCTATTTAACTACATTTAATATAAAAATATTTTGTGCACGTAAAATTTCAAAAATTACTTACACATGTATTAAGTTTTTATGTATGTGTAGATAGTTTTATTTGCATATAAACAAAATTCAACATATTTGTGGATAATCGTACATGTAATATATAATCAAATTTTGGGGGAAATTTTCCCACCTACAAAAATGTGGCTAAAAAGTATTACCAACATATATTAAGTGTTTGCCTTTATATAAAAATAATTATTGACATTTATCTACACATTACCCACACATTGATATGTGTAGCTAATTTATGTGTGGGTAAATACCCAAATTTCTTGTAGTGACGTTACATTGTTCCAATTTTTGTTTCAAAGGACATGTGTTCGAAATTGAACAACGTGGGAAGAAGTTCTCTCTGCATTTAGATTTAAGTTCTTTGTAGTCAGATCCGTGCATATTTGTGTTTCTAACGAAGGAAAGATACGAGCTACTTTACATGAGTTGTATTTTTGTATATTGGAGTTTGGAATCACTTTCACCTTTTTCAAATTTGAAAAAAAACGAAGGAAAGAAAGAGAACCACAAAAAGGAGAGTATGAGACTGTATTGGGTTTCCGTATATGGTATGAATATGTGTTTTCGGATCTACATTAAGAAGTGTTTTAAGATCCGGATATAAAAAGGGCTTTAGATGTAAATGAGATCCAAACTCTATTTTGTTCTCTTTTTTTTGTTTGTGATATAAACTGTACATTTTCTTACGCTTCAATGTTTTAGTGATGTTAACTAGATTTTTTTATGTGTTGGTAAATCAAACAAAGGAGTGTTAGATGAATTTGTGTCCTGTTTTGTTTGTATGACTATGTTTCGATTGTACGTGTACACGATTATCTAAATTATTCCATTTAGTTATATATTAGTATTTGGATCTTGATAAAATTATTGTGTTACTATTTGGTTAATTTGTTCGATTTTAAAATAAAAGATGACATTTGAATATTTGTTTGTACTTGTCAGAGGTATAAAACAAAAAATGGCATTAACTCTACGTTGTGCATGATATTTTGAGATATTTATTAACTCTACATTGTGCATGATATTAAAAGAGACAATGATATTTTTTGAAAAAAAAAATGACTATCTATTTAGTTATATTTAGCTTTAATAATGATTATTAATTAAATTCGATAGATCTTTTATTTTCAAAAAAAAAAAAAAAATTGTTTTACACTCTATTTATTATATTATAAGTTATTGAAGTACATTGGTATATATTATCATATGATAATATATGAATAATTTTTTTTTTCCAAATTTTATGCTGTGATACGGTTTATATGTATATATGATTTCTTTTTATTTATGTTGGTATATATATTATTATATGATATGGTCGGGGTAGGATTGACCTCTAAGGGTGGGCAAGCTAACGACTTAAGTGTAGTCCAAAGAAATACACACCTAGACGACTTAAAATATTGACTCATTTTCACATCTATACACAAACTAATCTGAAAATAAAAATCAAATTGTAATAAATTAATAAAAGATAAAAAGAATACTAAAATTCATTTTCAACTACTAATAATAGACGTGTTAAAAAAACTAAAACTAATTATATCAAAATTTAAATATAAAATGCTATATACACTAAGATCACTACATGGTCATGATATTCAATAGTTGGTGTAAAAAACAACATATATTACGTACTTTTAAAACAAAATAACAATATGCTTTTATTTTAACCCAAATAATAATGTCCATCAAAACGAAACTATATACTGAAATGATACAATTTAAAGAACGCCAAAATGAAACTCATTTCTGGCCGAAAACTAATTGCTGAAAACAGGCAAATCACCACTGCCACATCGCGCGGGTACACCACTAGTATATATATATATATATATATATATATATATATATATATATATATATATATATATATATATATATATATATATATATATATATATATATATATATATATATATATATATATATATATATATATATATATATATAGTATTGTTATCCCCTTTTATCGGGTTTAATAGGTCGGTATCATAGTGTAACTTTCTTTTATTCATTAAAACCACCCTTCAACTTTTTTTTTTCTAATTTGGCCATAATAATAACTTTTTATATATTTTTTTGTCATGTTAGGTGTTTTTTTTTGGTAAAAAGAGTAAGAGGATGTAAAAAGAGTAGGAGGATCAATGTGAAACGGAAACTAAACAAACAAGTTGGTGTTAAAGGTGCAAAAGACGTGAATAATTGAAATAATTTGAAAGACATGACATCGCAATAAGTAAGTTTAAATTGTACCCCAAAATGTTCGTTTTTTTCGAAAATGACGAATCAGTGTCTGATATTGGGCAAAAAACTGATACATAGACCGACTCATTTCTTATTTGGGTAGACTCGTTTGGTTAATTGGGTTCAGGTATGAAAAATTAGGTAATTGGTTAATCCGTATTTTTATTTTCAGTTCAAATATCGGGTATGCAAATTTAAATTATGGTATATGCCTGAATACCCGATTTATCGACACGCAAACAAATAAAATCCTATAAAATATATTGGTATGTTAGTAAATTTCACAAAGATGAACATGGGAAAAGCAAACAAATAACCACAAAATTCATAGATGAGAATAACATTATGTTGAAATTTTGTGGTGGAAATGTACCGAACGCATATTTGTAACAAAGAAAAAAAGTTTGGCAGGCTAGCAAGGAAAACTGTAAAACATGCATAATTTATATCAAAAAAAATAAAGATATAAGAACTATATGTAGTAATTATGATGGTTAAAAACCAAAACCCCATAAGTATCATTTTCTGCAAACATGTTGATAGTAGTTAATAAACCACATATTCTAATTAGCTAATATTTAGCTCCTTCAACTTATGTGTGGAAATCAACAAAAACAACGACCAAAATCAAGGAGTAACATGATATGTAGATCACCGGTCCAAAAATGACAAATTTTTAAAGAAATAGATCAATGTTTAAATGTGAGTTGGCACACGTATAGAAACAAACACTACCTCCATTTCCATTTCCATTTCCAGAAGAATAACGTGAGTTGGCACGCGTGACGCGTCAATGCATGTTGGTTCATCCATTTGCCACTATGACATCCTTCTGCAACAAGGATGCTTCCTATTGCAAATTGTCAAATGTCAACCCAATCACACCTTTATATACGATCACTACTACTTCTCACAAACATCACATCTCTCTCGATCTCTCTCTAGTTCTCTCTCATCAAAACAATAATGGGACCTTCCAACAATATTAATCTTTGCGCAGTCGCTCTTATAATTTAAATTCTACTAAAAGCAGCATCAGCAGGAAGTTTTTACGATGACATGGACATCACTTTTGGGGGTGAACGTGCTAAAATTCTGAATGGAGGTCACGATCTTTCACTTTCACTCGACCAATACTCTGGATCGGGTTTCCAGTCCAAGCACGAGTACCTGTTTGGAAGGTTCGACATGCAACTCAAACTAATACCTGGCAATTCTGCTGGCACTGTCACCACATTCTACGTGAGTACTATAACATAATTATTGATTGCATGCATGCATGCAATCTTGAATTTGATCATATATATCTGAATTATATATATGGTCATCTCTCACTTGTATTAATGTTATATATATCGAATCTGATTATAATATATAACCGTGTCTTTAATTAATTTGTATTAAATCATAGGGAAAATGCCTTAAAAGACCAATTAAGTTTCAAAAACGTTCATATTACCCCAATTACGTTTTTGTTGTTCACAAAAAACCAACGAAATAATGTTTTTTATTATAAATACAAATAAAGTTACGAATAAAAATAAGGTTTTTTAATGGTGACCGGCATGTTGCAGGTAAACGATGGGGGTAAATGAGTTGGCATATTTCTGTTGAGTTGGCATATGTGTTGGCATATCTACGTGGCATTTGTGTTAGATAGATATAGGGCATAATGGGGGATACGACTCCTTAATCAATCGACTTCTTCAATCGACTTCTTCAACATGGCTTCTTCGTCTCGATCCTCCAACTCATGCTCAAGATCAAAAATTTCCAAGTCAAAAAGCACAATTGATAAGGCACATCCTTGTGATTGTGGGTTTCCTTCTCGCATCTGGATATCAACAACAAAGGCAAATCCTGGTAAAAAATTTAGGGTTTGTCCTAACTCTTTGGTAAGTATATATCTAAAAGCTTGTTCTTGTTTGGGTCCCTTTTTGTTTTTCATGCTACAATATTGTTTGTTTATGTTATAATTGAAGATGAAGGATCCAAAGGATAAATGTGATTTCTGGGAATGGGTTGATGATGATGAAGAAATTATAACCAAGAACGAGAATAAGAAAGATGAAGAACATGATTTCAATACTGAAGTGAAGATTGCAATATTGGAACATGATTTCAGTGAGTACAAGATGAAGACTGATAAGGAATGTAAGAGTTTTAGAAAGGAATTGGATAAAATGAAATGTTTAGTGTTGATGTTTGTTGTTTTGTTTGTAGTGAAGTACATGATTTAGTGTTAAGTTTATTATGTAAGGAAAATGTACTTTGAAATTATCAGGATATGTATCTTCAAAGTAGTTGCATTGTACTCATGTAAAATGGTTACGAAGTGGGAATGAAAAGAAGGTATTTGTGAAGACTGATACACATAGAAGGTGTTTATGAAGGCTAATAGTCCATAAAAGTAACATACTTTTTATTGATTGAAAATAGCAAGGGCAAAATAGTCCATAATAAGATTACACTTTATCAAATGATAATAAGAAGGGCAAAATAGTCCATAAAAGGATTGCACTTTATCAAATGATAATAACAGGGACAAAATAGTCCATAAAACATGTGTTTGATATTATGCATGTAATTTGTGTTGTAAATGGTTTTTAAACACAAGGGCAGTTTTATTGAAAACACACATAATAGCAACATACTTTTATTGATTGAAAATAGCAAGGGAAAAATAGTCCATAATAAGATTACACTTTATCAAATGATAATAAGAAGGGCAAAATAGTCCATAAAACCTGTGTTTGACATTATGCATGTAATTTGTGTTGTAAATGGTTTTTAAACACAAGGGCAGTTTTATTGACAAAATAGTCCCACAAAACAGCTTTTACCAATTTTAACATAGTTTTAACAAATAGGGGCAAAATGGTACATTGTTATAATATGCATAAAAGGTAATAAACTACATATCAAAGCATAATTAAACCACATAATCAAGCATGTGCACATGGTACTAAATGTTGGTAAATGTGCACAACACCAAAAGACAAGCCTAAGCATCAAAAAGACAAGCCTAAGCACCAAAAGATGTGCTATTTCAAAGTATCTGACATAATCCTAATAGAACACACTTATCCTAGTTTATAGTAACTGGATTTTCAGTACTTTCCCCACTTCCATCTTTTGTTACCACCTTCTTCCTTAACTTCAGTTTCGTGATCCTCTCATAAGGTAATCGCCTTTTGTTCGCAACAAAATGCTGAAAAAAAAAACAGGTTGATGCTGATGGTGATGATTTTCTTGATGGTCAATCTCATCCTCTTGTTGTTCAATTTCATCCTCCTGCTGGTCTTCAATATCGCCTTCTTCAACAGCCTCTTCTTCACCAATTCCATCTTCACTAACCCCATCTTCCTTGACCCTATCTGTCACAACTAGAAATTTTATGTCTTGTAAACACTATACTCAAGTGAATGTGGAAATCAAAAACTCAAAAGCATGTATGATGCTTACTCAATGGAAAACTAAACCCCAAATTCACTACATCAAGCAATTGGAAAACCCTAGAAGTTCTTGTTAAGTCCATTTTGGACTAGAACTTCCTTATTGGACCTAAATGGACCAATAAGCTTCCAATTTGACTATCATGGGTTTAGAACCCTTAAATGGGCTCTAATTGGACCCACATCTATTTATTTCAACATTTTGGGCCATATTGGGCCTAGAATGAAATAAATTAATGACTATGAACCATAACCCTAACAAGTCATAAAAATCACTTTTATATTTATTTGGACCAAAAATCACTCAACTTAACCATGAAAATTGGGCTTAAGCATTTAAGGCCCAAACATTCTCTTTTCCCCCACCATTCTCGGCCCAAGCCCAAGAATAAGGAGGAGTTGACTTTGGATTGCCACCTCACTTTTATTTGATGGATATCCATGCATGCAACTCATACTTCCAAGCATTTATCTTGTCAAAGCCACCCTCTTCTTTCCTCTTTCCCCCTCTCGGCCGAATCCCAAACACACACACAAACATTTCACTCATCTTTTCTCTCAAGGAGCTCTCTCCATTTCTCTCCAAATTTTCGAAGATCTAAGAGGAATTCAAGGGAGTTTTTCCACAAAGATCATCATCTACGTAAATTGAAACTTGGATCCACACTTTAGACTTCTTCTTATATCCAAAAATCTCTTCTTAACTCTCATGAAATCATAAACTTGTGTCTTAGAACTCCATAAACTCGAGATCTTCAACAAGGGGTGCTAGGGTCGAAAATCACCAAGTTTTCTTCCATCCTTTCTTCAAAAACCGAATCAACATCCAAAGGTGAGTTTCATACCCCCTTATTTTCGGTTTTTATAAGTTTTTGTGGGGGAGAATACAAGCAAAGGTGTAGATCCATCATTATGTGTATGTTGTGGTTGATTTCTATGCTTATATGTATGTTTTGTATGATTTTGATGCTAGATCTAGTGATGAAATACTAAAAACCGAGATATATATTTTATTCTAGCATAAAATATACTATTGCATGCAAAGTATACTAAGAAAAATAGCCAAATGGCTTGACAACACTTATTTTGGGCTAAAAACTCATTTTTTTGACATAAAATGTTAAAAATACAAAGTTGAAGGGTCTAAAATGAAATATTTCGAAATCTGATGGGTGAGATGAGTCAAAACAGTTTACATAATGCATTTTCTGAAAATGTACTATTTGGAGGGTTAAAAACATAAATTCCAAGCTTATTGGGCTAAATATGACATTTTCGGCCCAATGAGGCCCAATATGCGAAATTTTCTAATTTGGAGGACCAAAACTACATTTTTCTGTAAAACAGTGGACTATAAGTGTTCCATGTACTTTTCAAAGGTTTAAAATGCTTTTCAAATTTAAAAAGGACCAAAGTTGCAAAAAATTTCCAAATTGGGCCAAAAATGTAAAAATTGTGAAAAAGAGGGGCTATAACCGAGAAAACTGCAATTTCAAGGACTTAAGCTGTTTTCTATGAAAAATATGCTGGAAAATACTTATTTCAATAATTTTTGGTGTTAAAATGTCAAGAAAATGATTTAAGGACCAAACCGGAAAGTTTTTAAATAAAGGGGTGAAAAGGGTAAATTTTACAAATAAGGAGGGACTGAAAACAGAAAATTCTCAAGGCTAGTTCAATACATGCAATTTGACCAAATGATGGTACCACGCCTATCGACGAAATACAATACATTACAATACCAAAAGTCGTTGTCAAACGAATTGGTTTGGTCTCGAACCAATAACAATCCGAAACTACTAACACGACGACACTATGACATTACGACATTACGATTCATAACTAATAACGATTGGGAAGTCACTATACATGCGAGTGTGCACAGACGTCTACGCACCATCTTTGGGCCCCAAAAGTGTAAAATCTTGTTTGTTGAGCCTAGCTAGCCCAATGACCTGATCTTAAGGCCCGAAGACCTCTCTCTCTTACGAAGTGTTGGGTTTTACCGATCCGACATAACGTAAAAGGACTTTCAATGGCAAACATGTTGCTGGTCCCCAAGGGTCCTTCAGTGCTGCTAGTAAAGTCTGTAACTCACGATTGCGGGTTGGGCTTCGGGCCCTTCGCAATTGCAATGGTCTTGAACGACGCGGGGAAATACCGAGGGTTTCGCACCTTCTCTTCTTCCCTCCGGTCGTGGGACTACACAAGTCCGGGAGGATTGAGTGGTGTGAAGAATTACGAGTGACGCCTAAGGGATCGCTTGTAAGGTTGTCGATTGGACGTTTTCATTAACGCACGTCACAACACTTCACCACCCACTGTATTCTCAATGCCTCCAGAGCTCAACGGTTTCCTCTAACACAACGAAACAACGGTACACAAACTAAGTAAAGCAAAGTGATAGGAAAACGTCGGGTTTTCCTAGGGCTTTCAACAATTACATTTATGAATTACCGGTCAAATTTCACAACTCTTACGCTTACATCTACAGAATTCAAACAAGCATACTCATGGATCATCACATATTTTTACACTATTCTATTTTTAGAAAATATCATATTTTCTGATGGTTTTCAAACAATACATTGGATTTCAAACACTACTTATGAACTCACCAACATTTCATATGTTGACGTTTTCAAAATACTTGTATTCTCAGGTAACAGATAAGGTGAAGGATGATTTGTACTCTATGACGTTTTGCTGTGGTTTAAGTAGTATCAAACAGTTATTTTTTTTGAGAATGTAATGTTTTGAACAATGTAATGAATGTAACGTTACCAGTTGTATCATTCCAAATGTTGGTGATGTATAATGTTATGTTTCATGTATATGCATTGTGATGGTATTCAATGAGTCACGATAGCCCTCGGACGTTTCCGCCGTCTGGTTCGGGGGTGTGACACTATCTTCATTGACCCCATCTTCACTAATCCCATCTTCACTAATCCCTTCTTCAACATCCCCTTCTTTAACAGTTGCTTTATTTGCTGCATTGTTAAAACAAAAATAATAATTATTATACAAATGTAGATGAATGAATAATCAAAATAAAAACGAACCTTCTTTGAGCAATGGACATCGCCTCTTGTTGTGTCCTTCTTGATGACAATTGCGCCAGTTGAGGACTAGGGTCGAGCGTGCGGAGCAGGAGACGCGTGACGTCCTTCGAGAGTTTCACATGAGGCAGGTTCGGTGGGAGTCTCGACTTCGGGACGCAGAACGCTTGGTGGCTCGTCTGCAGGGAGCATCCACATCCTCGGCACCACCTCCGGGCGCAACTCATCGCGGTTAGGGATAGACTTATCATAGTAGGTCGTTAGGAAATATGCTATGTACCCCGACTCTATGTTTAAGTGACTACACTACTCATAGAGCCGTTATGCTGTCGAACTAGTATCACTCATGCATGCTCCTACGAGCAAATTTTCATGTATCAAATGCGGATAATATTAATAAATTTTTACGTGTTTTATTACGATATTGCAAATTGCTATGTGTTGAGATATTATTATTGATTGGTAAATGGTAGTAGTGTTTAAGTTCGTACCATGCACCTAGTCAGTAGGATCACGACCTCACCGAAACCACATACCCTCAACATCTTTCCGTTTTGTCACAGAAAGATGCCTCTCCGACCTACTCGCGGAAACCCAGGACCAACCCCACCTGAAGTTGACTCAGCCGCCTTCCAGGCAGCTGTATCTGCAGCAGTCACTGCAGCGATTGCGCAAATTCAACAAGGGAACAATGGAGGAGTCAATGGGCAAGGAGCCGGAAGTTCAAACAATGGAATGAATCAAGGACCCACCAAGACATGTACCTACAAGGACTTCACAAACGCCAAACCACGAACTTTTAATGGCACTGGAGGAGTGATCACTCTGAAGCGATGGATCGAAAAGGTGGAGTCGATATTCGAG